GAGTTCAAAGGGATAAATCCCATAGGAATTAGATAATTCGAGCAAGAGCTCATTAGAAATATGTTCCCTTATTTTGGCTGACTCAGTAAATAACAGTTTAGACCTTGGAGATACAACAAACAAGGTGAAATTCTTTAATCAAAATAAATATAGGTAATAAAACTATAGTAAATTCTCTGAACCACGGTTAACACTTCATATTATATCTGGGTTGACCAAACTGTTGTTTGATGTCTGTTATACAATATTAAATGATTTGACAGAGCCACTGTCCTAATACTTGATATGAAGAGGTATCAAGAATAAAATATCCTACCTTCTCAGTAGGTGGAAGATAGATTGGTTGTTTTGAAGGTTAAAAACAACTGTCAGAACCAATTTTAAATTTAGTGATGAAGAATATCATGATTTAGTACATACTTTTACCAGTCTGTCAATCAACGAGTCCCTTCTAAAAGTCAGGCATATAGGAACATAGATACTCTAATAACTTACCTGAGCACCAATCAATAAACAAGCTTTACCTCCATAACCACACTGCCACAGATCCTGCTGGCTTCAGTCTCTTTCAATCCTTGAACTCCATGTTTCCCCCAAAACCTTATATAAGATCATCAGTAAGCTCTGCTCTGGGAGGACACTATCTAACATAGCTCTCACTATGTTAATAAACAATAAATTCAGCTTTCTCTTTTATAACAGTTATTGAATGGTAGATGCAGCAATCTCTGACAGTCATATATTTGATCATCTAATTCAAACTTGCTCATTTAAGCCCCAATAATATCTTCAGTATACCGTTGTTTGAGTATAAAATAAGTCATATATTGTTGAGGACCGAGGCCGGCCTCGGTCCCCAACAATATATATATTAAGGTAGCCATTTATGGACATTAATTGTGGATTACCTAACCAACCACTCAATAACTGAAATCATAAGATGAATCTTAATTTTTCTGTGGAGAGTTAAATTGTTCAACTGTAGCTACCTGAGCAAAGTTTATTGCTGTGTTTAATAAATTTCTTTGTAAATGTCCAAGGAAACTATAAAGCCAATTTGTGAGATATAGAAGAACCTAGGTATTGTTCTTATCAAAGATGCACTGGTAGCCACCTGGCATAGAAGGTTGTAGGCTGACAAGATAGTGGTAGAAATTTGATTATATTTTAGGTGATTTTTTAAAAAGATTTATTTATTTGTGCATACAGAAGCTCAGGGGCGGGATGAGGCTTCACCAGAGACAGAGTGGGGAGCAGAACAGGCAGATCCACGAAGTACACTGCTGAGGGAAGCAGCGGGCGGGTCAGGAGAGGTCTGCCACGCCATGTGGTCACCTCCGGGGCAAGCAGGAATCGAACTCATGTAGAAGAGGCTTTAGCGATTTTGTGCTGTGCTTTAACCCGCTGCACCACCAGGGAGGGCCCTAGGTGATTTTTTTAAAAAGATTTATTTGTGCATACAGAACTGGGGTACAGACTAGAGTTGCAGGAGTGATGAGAGGATTCACTAGAGACAGAGTGGGGAGCAGAACAGGTAGATCAATGAAGTACACTGCTGAAGGGAGCAGCGAATGGGTCAGGAGAGGTCTGCCGCGCCATGTGGATAAATTCCGGGGCTAGGAATTGAACTCGCATTGAAATGGCTGCAGCTAGCTTGCAGTGCTGTGCTTAATCCACTGCACCACCAGGGAGGGCCCTTTATGTACCTTTAAGAATTATGTACTAAATGTTAGACTAGAACATATCAAAACAAAGCATCGTATCATTTAGTAGCCATATTATGTAGCATCTCACTAAACAATTCTGATAAAATATATTTCAAAAATATTCAAGCATCCCAGGCTAAAAGGCAGCCATTCAGGATCCTGGAGTTGCTTCTTCAGTCACAAAATTCCTGTATGAATGAAATCCTATTCAGTGATCAAAAAAAGATAAACTCATGCCATTTGCAACAACATGGATGGAGCTGCAAGGGTTATGCTAATTGAAATAAGCCAGAAAAAAGGTATCTACCGAATGGTGTTATTAGATGAGGACTATAGAGAAACCAAACAAAGGGTAGACACTCAAGCTAGCCCTTGAAAGCTGGCTGGATGTCTGGGGAGGAGAGGGGTGAAGATACGTTCGGGAATGGGAAGAGAACAGTGGACTATGATGGAGGACTGTGGGTACTTTGGTGGTGGGACTGTTATAGTGACTACACCTGAGGGGAGAAAGAAATGTTATACTTTTAAAAATAATAGAGGAAGGTAATATTTCAATAAAAATTAATTTAAAAAATTCTGTGTCTCTATTGGAGCAACTGCCTTTGAAAAAGAATTGAAGATCAGCATTTCCATGAGGAAAAGTGGTAGAAACTACCAGAAAAGGTAGGAAAACCTGAGGCACAGTCCTACTATGAACGCTATCAGAGCACTGGACTCCAAGGTCAGGAGAGCTATCAGGGGTAGGGAGCCTTCCCCTGGAGACTGAAGGCTTTAAACTGATTAAGGCCTTAGCAGCTGGGAACTGCACTGGTGTGGGGAGTGTACTCAGATAGCTGGTAAAAAACGAGGGAGATGGCCCTCCCTGGAGGCACAGTGAGTTAAAGTGTAGCACAGCAAACTAGCCATAGTGGCTTCAGACAAGTTCAATCCCCAGCCCCGGAGGTGACCCACATGGCACAGCAGACCTCTCCTATCTCACCCGCTGCCACCCTCAGCAGTGCACTTTGTTGATCTGCCTGTTCTGCTCCCCACTCTGTCTCTGGTGGATCCTCTCTCTGTCCCTGCACCTCTGGCCTGTACCCCAGTCCTGTATGCATAAATAAATCTTTATTTAAAAAATTTCAAGTTAAAAAAGATGGGGAGCTTTCCTCTGGAAAAGCACAGGACTTGGGTGAGCAGATTGATGAAAGGGGAACAGACTTAAATAACTTATATTTGTTGAAGCTAAAAACTCAGCATGCAGAACAAGAGCAAGATCAGTCTTCCATTGGAGTCCCCACTCCCACCCCATCATACTCTTGCCTGAGCCTCAAGGGGAAAACTGTTTGCAAAAATTTCTGAGATCAAGATTCTGCTGCAGCTGAGGTTTTAGTTGCAGCCTGAGGTTTCTGGTAAAGTGCCAGTTAGAATCAGCCTTAAGTTAACAGTGGTTGCAGATCTTTTCCTTCAGCTTAAGTGGCTATAGCGCCCAGGATGGCTTGTGTTTTTGACACTCTACAGCAGCAACTTCTTCAGTCCCCACATCCTTGTCCCTTACCCAGGCTGGGTTCTTGGGCTAAAACCCACCCTGCACCAGAGCTCATTCTGGCTGGTGAAGAGGCTTCAGCCTATTCAGAGTAGAAAGCCTAGCATCCAAAGCAACACTGTAGGCTAATACCCGGCAAGCTTCAACTCTAACACACAGCTGTTAACTAGGACTGGGAAGGCAAGCAGTTTAGTCCAGTCCATAGAGATAAACACAGAGACACAAACAGAATGAGGGGACTGAAAACTCACCTCAATCAATGGATCAAGACAGATCCACAATAAAACAGTACCAAGTAAACTACTGGGTGATTTCAGAGATGCTAGTTGAAGTTAGGGGAGCAGTGGATGAATGAAAGAAAAACAGGGCAGTGAAAATGTGAAAAAAGTTCTAAGAATAAATCATAAAGCTAAAGAAAATAGTTAAAAGAATAGTAGACTTGATGAAGCAGAGGACCTAATTGGTAAATTTGGAGATAAGGCAATGGAAAACATCCACAAAGACTTGCAAGAAAAAAAAAATTAAATTCATCTTTAATGTTACATGTGAGTCTGCTTTTGTCTACCTGACTTTAGGATATGCTGTCTTTAATATTTGCTATCTTAATGACATGTCTTGCTGTGCATTTTTCTGAATTTATTTTCTTTGTAATTATTTGAGCTTCCTATGTGGGGTTATCTGTTTCTTCCCCAGTTTGGGAAGTTTTCTGATATTCCTTCAAGTCAGATATTTCTTACTTTGAAATTCCTATGGTACAAATCTTGCCATTCTTAGTACTGTCCTACTAGTCTCTTATATTTTTAGGGAGATGAAAATCAATACCATAAGTTACCACCTCATACCTGTGAGACTGGCCTACATTCCAAAGGTTGGAAACAAATGTTCTTGAGGGTATGGAGAAAAATGAACCATTGTAACTGTAGAAATATAAATGGTTCCAACCTCTCTGGAAAGGTTTGTGGAGCTTTCTGAAAATATTAAAAAATCAACATTATGACCCAGCAATTCCAGCTCCAGGTATCTATCTGAAGAACATACAAACACTAAAGGATATACAGTCCTATTTATTGCAGAACTATTTACAATAAGCAAGATAAGGGTCAACTTAAGTGCCCCCCAAAGTACATTGCATATAGAGGATGAAATATTCATACATTATGAATTATTACTCAACCACAGAAAAAGATGAAATCTTGCATTTGTGAAAATATGAGTAGAACTCTTGGGAATAAAGCTAAGAAATAAATGAAAAGGAGAGACAAACAGCAGGTGATTTCATTCATGTAGTCTATAAAGAAACAAAGTAAAGGAACAAACCAAAAACAAACCTTGTGAATTATGTTATAAAACTGAGGTTTTATAGGTCAGAGTTGGGCATGTGGGGAGCAGAGGGAAGTGGAAGGGGTTCAGTGGACTATACTAGAAGGTTAATGGTATTTCACTAGTGGGTAACAATACATTTGAAGAGATGGGAACCAGTACTTCTAAAATGTTGTTCCAGTTTTTTAAAAAATAGCCAAGCATCTTGCAAAAGTGTTTCCTATCATACAACAAATTAATATAAATTTATTGGGTGGAAAGTGGGGAAAAGGACAAAAAAGATGGGGTAGTTCTGTATCGACATCAAAGAATTCATGAAAAGGTCCAAAATCTTCCGCCCACATCAAAGACTTCATGTTTTGATAACTGGAAACAGGGCGGCCCTGGTTGCTGGGCCGAGGGAGTCACGTGGTCCACATATGAATGAAGATGATCCTCTGTGAAGGATGTCACTTTCTGTCTAGTTCAGAATGGTATTTCTTGGATGCAAGTCTAAGATTCTGTTTATTTTCCCAGCGATGTAGAGCAGACTGGCCAGACATTACATCATGCTTTTTATCTTGGTCCTTTTGAAAAGAAAACACAAATATTGTTCAAAGCTAACAGAGCTTGTGACCTGATTTGTGATTTGTGTCAAATCATTTATTCATCAAGATAATGGTTCAAATCTACACAGTTTGGGGAGAGAGAACTTTAAAGAAATTAGTGCACTGGCTTTCCAAGTAGTAAAGAAATCTGAGGATTAGCAGTAAGAGTAAATGAATGAAAAGAGAGATCCTGTAATAAGAAATCTAAGTAGAAACAAAGAGAGCCACATCTAAAAACCCTACCTCATCTGACCACCTGTCCTCCCGGGGAAGCCTCTGCAACCGATTTTTTGTCAGCTCAAGTTGTAGGCCATCAAACCTGCACTTAAACCAGCGGTGAGCTTCTTCCAGGTTAGCTGTTATCTGAACATATAAATGTTATCATGAAAAGTTACAACAAAGAATTACAAGCTTTTGTATATTAGTTTGAGTTCTTACCTAATAATAAAAATCCACATGACCTATTGTCATACATTAAACTTAATCTACTGTTTGGAAAATGAGGGATGGTTGTGTGGTAATTTCACAATTGTTTCTAGCTCTAAAAATGTACCGTTTTAAATACTTTCCAAAAGGACAAGATTAGAACAGAGAATGCAGAAAAATAAAAACTGAAATGAAATTGGCCCTATTTTATACTTCTAATTGATTAAATAAAAGTCGACTAGTTCATGTCAAACTAAAATAATGCACTAAAATCCATGTGCATGCTGGTTTCTTTATTTTGTGGCTCTGGACTTCAGGTTTATTGAGGACTATACCTTACTGTTATCTGTCATTCGATACAGAATCTTTTAATTTTTGTATTGAGGTATATAATTGATAGAGGCATACGGCATGATTGGATACATGTATATATTGTAAAATCACCACCATAAATCTAGTTAACATCAACTGCCATTTGTACACATTTTTTCCCTGTGAGAACTTTCAAGATACTTAGCAACTTGAAATATGCAATGAAGTGTTGTGTATTCACCATGCCGTAAATTATATCCTCATGACTTATTTTGTTAACTTAAAGCTTGTAACTTTTTCACTTCATTTCACTCTGCCCATCTGCCAACCTACCTTTGGCAACACCAATCTGTCCTTTTATTTATGAACTACTGTATTTATTGTAGCTCCCACATACAATATACAGTATTTTTCTTTTTATGACTAACAATGTCCACAAGATCCATAAATATTGTAAATGAGAAGATTGCATTCCCTTTTTGTGACTGAACAGAACTTCATTGTGTTTGTGTATGTGTGTGCATGTGCGTATCACAGTTTATCCCTCTGTCTACTGATGGACACTAGACACTGGGTCATTACTGTGTTTTGGCTATTGTAGACGATGCCTTGATAAACGTGGGAGTGGCATGTACCCTTCTAGTTTGTGGTTTGTTTTTTTTTTAGATAAATATACAGAAATGGAAATTCCAAACCATGTGGAGTTTCTATTTTTAATCTTTTGAGGGGCTGTCATCCTGCTTTCCACAGTAGCTGCACCAATTTACAAGAGTTCTTTTTTCTCCATATTCTTGTCAACATTTGTTACTATTTGTTTTTGGTTTTTTGGGTAACCATCCTAATGAGATAAAATGTGATTTCATTGTAGTTTTGATTTACATTCCCCTGATTATTGATATCAAGCAAGTGTTAAAGTGTACCAGTTTGGCCATTTTCTGTCCCTTTGAAAAATGTCTATTCATATCATCTGCCCATTTTTCAACCTAGTTGTAATTTTGCTTGTATTGAGTTGTATGAGGTGTTTATTTTTGGATTATTAATCTCTTAAATATGATTTGCAAATATTTTTCCCCACTCAGTGGCTGCCTTTTTTTTTTTAATTTCCTTTGCTGCATGCTTTTAGTTTGATGTAGTTCCACTTGATTAGTCATCTTTGCTCTGCTGTCAGATTAAAAAACTTAGCATCAAGAATAACAAGGAACTTATGTATGTTTTCTTTCAGGAGTTTTATGGTTTCAGGTCTTACATTTAAGTCTTAAATCCATTTTGGCTTAATTTCTGGGTGTGGAGTGTTTTCCAGTTTCATTCTTGCATGTGACTTTCTAGTTTTCTCAATGATTTATTGAGGACAGTCCTTTGTAGTAACCATACAAATATGACTTTATTTTTGGTCTTTCTATTCCTTTCCATTGGTTTATGTGTGTTTATGCTAAATACCATGATGTTTTGATTACTACAGCTTAATAATACAATTTGAAATCAGTGTGTGTGATGCCCCCAGTTTTCATGTTTTCTAAGAAAACTTTGGCTATGCAGATTCTCTTGTGGTTCCATACAGATTTAAATATTGTTTGCTATATTCTGGAAAATATAACATGGAAGCTTGAAAGAGATTGCATTGGTTCTGTAGATTCCTTTGGGTAGTACAAGGCATGCTAAAAATATTAGCTCTTTCAATCCATGAACACAGAATACCTTCTACTTACATCATTTTCAGTTTCTTTCATTAATGTCTTATAGTTTTCAGTATACATCTTTCACCTCCTTGATTATATTTATTCCCAGATATTTTATTCTTTTTGATGAACTGCAAATGATACATATTTTATTTCCATCACATTCTTAAATTATTTTAAATGTGGTGACATTGGTTTATATTGTGTATTACAAGTATGGGACCTCCCCCATTGGGCATTGTTAACACACCATGCCACACCCACTACCAAGACATATTTTATCACTATAGTCCTTTGTGCTCCTTCCTCATCTTGCTTTCACACTCCTTCTCTTCCCCCTTCAGAAGCCTCAATTCTAGTTAGTTAGGGTTAGTTCTTGGCTTGGTTTCCCTATATTCCCATGAGTGACACCACTGGCTATCTGTCTTTCTCTTTCTGACTTATTTTGCTTACTTAGTCTAATCCCCTCTAGAAGCTCCACCCATGCTCCCACAAGTGGTAAGCATTGTTAAGATAGCTGAGTAGTATCCTACCATCTGTATATACCATATCTTTCTGATGCATTAATCATTATTTGAACACTTAGATTGTTTTCATAGCTTGCATATTTACTGATAACTAGTGCTGCAAAAAACATGGAAGTGCATATTTCCCATAGAATTAATGTTTGTGTTCTTCAGGTAGATATATGGGAGTTTATTGCTGGGTGATATGGCATATCCTTTAATCACTTGAGAAAACCCTACTGTTTTTCATAGGCGTTGGACCAGTCTATATTTCCAGCAACAGTGTAAGAGTGTTCCTTTTTCCCTAAATGCTTGCCAACACTTGTTGGTTTTGGTCTTTCTGACATGGGCCATTCTCACTGGTGGGTTTAGTTGTGTTTACCCAGCTGTAAGTGATGATGAAAAATTTTTACATACCTGTTGGCAGTCTCTCTGTCTTCATCAGAGATGTGCCTATATAACTCTTCTCACTTTTCAACTGGATTGCTTTCTTTTTGTTGAATTGTATGAATTCTTTGCTGACATTGGATATTAGCCCATGTGAGATATATGGTGTGCTAATATTTTCTCTCATTAAGCAGTGTCTTTTTGTTTGAGATAGTTTCTTTGTTCTACATAAGTTTAATGTGATGTAGCCCAATTGTCTGTATTGTTTCCCTGGCTATTAGTGATGAATCCACAAAGACATCTGTCAAACCTTTGCCATGCAGTGTTTTGCCTACATTTTTGCCTATGTATTTTAAGGTTCCAAGACTTACATGCAAATCTTTTACCATTTTCATTTGACTTTTGTTATGGTGTGAGATACTGGTCTGATTCAGTCACTTGCATGTGGCTACACAATTTTCCCAACATCACTTACTAAAGAGGCTATTACTGCTCCCGTGTGTATTGGCGGCCCGCTTGTCATAGATGAACAGTCTATATAATAGATGTGGATTTATTTTTGGGCCCTTAATTCTGTTCCATTGGTCTTTGTGTCTACTTTTGTTCCAGCACCATGCTGTTTTGATTATTATGCTTGAACTGGAAGTGCGATACTTCCATTCTTACTCTTTCCTGTCAGGACTGCTTTGGCTGTCCATATGTAGTTCCATATGAATTTCAGTATTTTTTGCTCTATTTATTCAAAGAATGCCACCGAAACTTAGATAGGAATAGTGCTAACTCTGTGCATTACTTTGGGTAGGGTGGGAATTTTGACACTGTTAATTCTTCCAGTTTATGAGCAAGGGTTCTTTTTTCTTTTTTTTTTTCTGTATCCTTGTTTCAATAATGCCTTATGGTTTTATTTGTATAGGATCCTTTACCTCCTTTGTTCAGTTTAATTGGGGGGGTGAAATTGTAAATGGGTTTGTTTGCTTACTTTCTTCTTCTTCTAGCTCACTTTGCATACTGGAAGGCAACTACTTTTTGTGTATTGATTGTGTAACCTGTCACTTTTTGAACTGATTTATTGTTCCAATTAGTTTTTCAGTGGAGTCCTTAGGGTTCTTTTTGTATATTATGATGCCATCGGCAAATAATGACAGCTTCTTTACCAATCTGGATTACTTTTATGTCTTTTATCTAATTGCTCTAGCTAAGATGTAAAATGCAATAGCTTGAAGTGGACACACTTGTACCACATCTTAGTGCAAAAACTGTGGGATTTTTTTTTTTTTTTTGCTATTGGGAATGATGCTATGTGTTTGTTTATTTTTATTATGTTGCACCAGTTTTTCACCAGTTTTTCAAGAGTTATAATAGGTGTTGTATCTTATCAAATGCTTTCTCAGCACCTATTGATCTGATTGTGTAGTTTTTATCTTTCCTTTTACTGACATGGTGAATTATGTGGACTGATTTTTGGATATTGATCTATCCTTTAGTCCCTGATATAAACCCCACTTAGTCATGCTGTATAATGTTTCTAAATGCATTACTGGGTTTGGTTTATAAAGATTTTATTGAAGATTTTTGCATGTGTTCATTAGGGAAACTGGTCTGTAATTTTCTTTTTTTGTGTTGATTTTGGTACTGGGATATAACACTGATTTCATAAAATGTGTTTGGAAGTATACTCGTCATTTTTTTGGAGTGAGTTTGAGCATGATAGGTATTAGCTAATTTTTAAAGGTTTGGTTAAAACTTGTGAAGCCATCTGATTCTTTTTTTTGGAAATTTGATTGCTGTTATCAATGTCTTTGCCTGTGGTTGATCTACTTGGAATTACACAACAGGAAAGAAATAGAAAGCTTAAGAATTTGTCCAACCTTCCTAGGTTACTGAACCTATTAGCATATGTAAGTTCATACAAGTCTCTTATGATCCTGAGTTTCTGCAATATTGTAACTTCTCTTCTTGTTTCTAATCCTATTTGAGTTTTTCTCCACCACTTCCCCCCCCCCTCCTTTTTTTTCCCTTTGTGAGCTGGCTAGAGGTTTGTCTATTATATTGATTT